GAGAGAAGCCAAATTTTTATGCGTATACTTCAACATTTCTTGTAGATCGTGTTTCGCAAAAAAAAAGAAGATTTATAATATTAAAATTAATTCTACCATTGAATATCAGAACTTAAAGCTAAAGCTGAAACAGCAGCTGGTGGATAAAGTTGGATAAATGATGTTGCCATAAAACCAGATGCTACAAATGTTGATTTAGTTTTCATTTCTTCATGTCCTTTCCATACATAACTTTCACAGCCATCTAATAAATTTACTGTTATTGTCTATAAGAAAAAAATAAGGAAATCTCAAAATCTTTGTTTTTTTTTTCTAAGAAAAAATTTAACTTACTAATAAGTTTACATCAGTAGGTTCAGCTGTAAATTGAAATGTAAGAACTTGTCCAGCGGTTCCAGCAACAATAAGAGTATTTGTATTAGTACATAATGCTAGTTTTTGTATGGCTAGACGTGGATCATCGCAATATGGATCATAAATACCAGTCTAAAGAATAATTTGAAAAACATATCGAAATTTTGTTTTTTTTGTCAATAGTAATTGGATAATCAGCTAAGACTAATGATCAAAAGATCAATTGAAGATAATTTCATATCTGTTACATTATTCTTAGAACATCGAATTAAATAGATCAAAGAACTTTTTCTCTTGGCTTCGATACTAAAATGCTTCATATAAGATTTCTATTAGGTAATTATGTTCTCGAATTATTGCTAGAGATATGTTCACGAAAAGAAATATATTAACAAAAGATTATCTCTGCTTTTTGAAATGAGAACCTTGCAGCGCTCTAGAATCCGTTGAGTTCACTGTAACTCCGAACTCGACTCTAAAAATTTTCTATTAAGTCGATCTAAGTCTAATGCGGAAAGTTGTCTCTTTCTCCAACTGACTAATCGCTTTTAAATCGAGACTACTCGGATCATGTAGACACTAATGAGTTACGAATATTCTGAAAAGAGTTCAGAATTTCAGCTTATTACTGCGGAGATACTGCATTTTTATGATACTTTTTTAGCTTATAATCATCATCCTTCATCCTGAGAACATCAAGAAAACTAATTTTCGAATTTCCATTTGTAACTTTGCATAGAGATATGTCCTAATGAGAATACTGTATTACGAAAGATTCAAATCTTTTTATTTTTCCTATCCGAAGATACATCTATGATAAAAGCATGTCTTTTACATCACTTATATACATCGATAGATTCAATGTACACATTTCCGGACACGAGTAAATCAAAAGATCTGAAGCTTCGATAATAAACTATTCTAATTGAGACCTATCTCTATGCAATTTTTCAAACTGGAGTTCAAAAATCACTCGTAAGCTAAGTGTTCCAATTCATCTCAGTGCAATCATAGCTTATTAAAATCTTCATAATTCACATGATTCCAGGTCAAAAGCAATTAATCAGTTGGAAGAATTCTCTCGTCAACTAAAACTTGATACACATAATTAGAGTCTGCCGGACTGATCCAGAAATCGTTGTACCCGACGGACTCTATACATAATAAGCTTATTCAAGTTTGTTTAAAAATCCTATTCGGATAGTTCCCCTTGGACTTTTACTTAAACAAACCTTTCTAAATGGTGGCCATGTTTCTTCATCTATATCATCATTTGTTGGTTGTTCAATTTGAAAATAATCATTTGTTTTTAATTTACAAATCAATGGCATAGAAACATTTGTCACATCCCAAAATTGTATGGATCCATCTTCATGTCTAATATATAATAAAACAATTAAAATATTTTAAACTTTCTCTTCTTTTCATTTTATTTTTTGAATATGACTCACCCAGTTAGTAATAAATGTTTTTCTTGTGAATCATATTCAATTTTATTTATTTCTCCACCTGTTATTGGCCATTTCTAAAAATAAAATTTCAATTTAATTTTTTTATCAAAAAAAAAAAAAACAAATCATAATTAACAAACTCGATCTGAATAATCTTCAAATTGTATTGAAGCATAATTAAGAAGTTTTTTATAAAATTCTTGATTAACATTACATGCAAATGTTGTACATATAACAGGTGATGCATGAATACTATTTAAATATGGTAAAGGATATGATGGCCAACTATCAGTAATAAGATCAATCATGACGATTTCTTCATTTAATAAAATGACAAGAGATTGAGAATCATCACGAGCTAAAATATTAAATTAAAAAAAAAAACAATATGTTTGACTTTTTTTTATAAATTAACATACATCCATCATTTGATAATTTATCAATAGTAAAAAAATCGATAACTCCTGTTGTAAAATCAAATGTTACATGTCGTGTTCGTTCATTATTATGTTCATTTTCACATAGACAACTAACAGTATGTTTATTTGAATAACTTGAACGAGGTAAACCACCGGAAAATATTATTAAAGGATCACCACTAATAAGAAAAAAATAATAATACATAAGAAAATTCTTTAAAAAACAAAAAAAAAACCTTACTTTCGCATAATTTTTACATCAATCTTTGCCATTGGTGTACATGGATAAGGTCCATAAGGAATTTTTTCTGTTTCAACTATATTTAATTGTTGTTTAGCATCCCATAATGCATAACTTCCATTACTATGACAAGTAGCAAAATTTCTACCTTGATTATACCAACAAACAGATTCGACTTCCTGTTTACACAAAACAAAAAAAACTAAAACAAATTATTTGAAAATAAAAAGAAACATTACAAACTTGTTTATAAATATAAGTTCTATCATGACTATTTGATGGTAAATCCCAATGAACAATAAGTGTATTTTTATAACCAATTAAAATTTTATCATCATTTATTGGATGTTGTACAATTGATTGTACAGAACCTGGATGAATAATACGTCCACTACAATTTTCAACAATTCTGAAAAAATTTATTTCATTTTATTTATTGATTTTTTGTCTTTATCTCTTACATTTTTTCAATAGTTTCTGTTGGAATAATTGGATTTGTATTAAGTGAAAAATTTTCAATATTAAATAAATAAATATTTCCATTATGAAGACCAATTAATAGATATAAATTATTTCTTAATAAACATATTGTTTGTGTATTTTTTAAAATTATTCCAATATCTTCATTTGATGTACATATATGATCAATATGTATAGTATTTAAATTATTTATTTCAAGTAAATGTAAATAACCATCATTTGTTAATATAAGAAGTCGTGCTAGACCATTTAAAAATATTATTTTACGAATTGATGATGTATTAAGATTATATGATAATTGAAAATTTGGTTGACCATAACTATACGAAAAACAAATATAAACAAGTAAATAATAAGATAACAATAAAACTTACATTCGAATTTCTCCTGTATGTGTACCAATAGCAATTAATTTTAATTGAGAATCATAAGCAATTGCTGATGGACGTGATGGAAAACCTCGATCACATATTTTATTAAAGCCAAATAATTCTTTTTGAAGACGTCGACGTGTTTCATTTTCTTCAGGTTGTTTTCGACCAAGTTTAAATTTAAACATACCTTCTTTTTTTTTTTGTTTTTTGAATTTAATTAAAACAAAAAACAAATGTTGAATTATCTAGAAAATAAAAAATAGTACATGAATCATATTACAAATAAATTTGATATGATATGAATTTAACAGATGTGCCATATAGTAAAAAAATAGGTCAGCAGCCGCCGTCCCAATTAATGACAATGGTAAAAAGAAAAAACGAATAAGTGTTCTTCTTTCTTATGCCTATCGACCAATATACTGAAACTCATACTGAACCGGTCAAACGGTCATTCTCTATTCTTCCTCTTCCTCTCTTTCCTTTCGATGAACTATTCTAGAGACAGAAGGGCATTGTGAATGTCGAGTTGAGAAGAGTAAAATAAAGTAAAAAAAAAAAAAAACCCCAAAGAAAAAGAAGAAGAAAGAGATCGACGCGTGCCGTCATGATGTGTTGTCTTACCTGACTAATCAAAAATAAGAAAAAAAAACATATGTGATTCATATAACGTCTTTGAAAATGAAAGAGTGTACAAAGAAAAATGATTATATCTGTTTTGTTTTAGATACGTGATGCATCAATTCATTGATTGTTACTATGATGATAATAATGATGTGTGTATCCGGTTACTCTTATCCTGATGGATATAATGGAAAACAAAAGACTAATCGATAAGAAGAGCACATATTTTTTGATTGAACATATTTTCTTGTTTTTTTTCTTTATGCGTTGAAAGAATGGTCAATGGTCTAATCTTTGATAAAATAAGATTATTAATAGAAATGAGATATAGACAAAAAGAAAAATTAAGGAATAAGATACTTGACACGTTTATTTTTATTATTAGAAGGATTAAAATCAAGTGAACTCGAAAGGATTTTATTCTCAAGAGGAAAACTATTTCAATATAATAGACACAAAAAGAAAACGATGAATAGAAAATTAAATTTTTATATTCAATTAGTGTTTTATATACTATGAAAAATTTGTTATATGTATATAATATTTTATCTGTTAGATATGTTGAGAAAATGTTCAGATATAGGTTAATATGCTTGAAAAGAATAAAGCAAATCGATATTAAGAAGTAATTATAGTTATCATACGAACAAAAAGAAAATATCAGCTATGTATAAATGATTTCTTATATTCCCATAACTGTTAAATAGATTATAATTTTTGCTTTCTATAAACTATCTATTTTCAATCATTCCATTAGTCAAAATATTAGCATAACATAATGAGAAACATTCAAGTGATTATTCAATGATTGTTAAGTATAATAATTGATGATTACATCATTCATAACTCACATCTCAATCATGATTGATTTTTACTTGTTGATAATAATATTTTACTTTAAGAGATTACTATCTATGATAAGAAAATTATAAATAATATAAAATAGAATTTAAAATATATTTAGAATGAATAATAAACAAAAACATAAGGAAAACTAAGAAGTAACAATATAAGAATAAAAAACTTGTCGTTTATTATCATTTTATTCTTTAATAGATCATTCTGTATTTCGGCTAGAATAGAAGAAGAAAAAAACAAATTAATCAATCAGTAGAAAAAAATAACGAATAAAATTATGTAACTGACAGTGATGATGCTAGACTCCAATCAGGTTGAACTTCTTTAACTTTAAATTCTACATTATCATTCGTAACAATACAAACTTGATACTAAAAAAGAAAAGAAAAAGGGGTCGAGAAAGAAAAAATATCAATAAAATTAACTTACACGAGCAAATGCTCGACAATCACGGTAATAAAGTTGTTTAATAATTCGATCCATTAATTGTTCAGCTTGTTGTTTATTAATTTGACTAGAAGTTTCAAGTATTGTTCGTATCCAACCCTAAAAAAAAAACGATTAATCATAAAAAGAAAGAAACAATAGTCTTAGACATCATTCAATTACTTGAGCTAAATGAGTGCCAATACCAGTGATAATTAAAAATTCTTTATAAGCTGAACCTTTATCATTAACACGTCCAAGAAATCTACAAATAATCAAATTGATAACTTTTCTTTTTTTTTTTTTTTGATAACAAATTCTTCATACATACGGTTCGTTATTTTCCATTCCTGCTACAATAACATTTGTTAATAATGGATTTAATTGAGTTCTTCGATAATACATAAGTCTTGTAGACCAAGCATAAAGAGCTAATGGTGTCATTTTACTACCATCTTCTTCAATAATATCTTGTTCTCTTCAAAAATTTATTTATCATAAAAGACGAAAAACTTGTAAAATTATTTCACTTACACTTTAGTATCAATAGCTTCTTTTATATAATCAGCATCAGATAAATCTCCACCAAGTCCAAGAACAGTTCTATCATTAACTTGATGAATACGTGAAATATTACGATATTTAGCTAATGAACCATATGAACCAAGAACATCAGCAGCTAAAATAACACCACCATTAAAAGTAAATGCAGCAACAGATGAACCAGTAACAACAGGTGTACTATTAAAATGAACTTAATATGATTATTTATAAGAAAATATTTCTTAAAAATTTACACTGTACGTGTACGAATATTTCGTTCAACTTTGGTTTCCAATGGACTAATTGTATAATTTTTATATGAATGATTAATATTAAAATCATCTTTATCATTTATTGTATCCCAACATGGTCGACATGGATTAAATTCATTTAGCATATTATTTTTTTTTCTGATTCAAATTAAAGTCTGAAAAAAAGCAAATAAATGTAATAGAATTAAAGAAAAACAAAATAAAACATATTGATTTAAATAAATTCATTAAAAAGAAAAGATAATTTATTAAGATTTAGAAGATAATAATAATAATGAAAATAGACGATCAATATTTGTTTAATATTTCTTAAACAAATCATATATCTATTGAATAAACAATATAAAAAAATTAAAATACGCGTTTTTTAATCTTTATATGAAAATGCATTTAATAAACGATTGGTTTAGTTGTAAATCTGTCAGTAGATGTCATTCAAATTCATTGGTTTTTGATTTACATCTATTAGCAGAGGTAAGTATAGTACAACTTTGTCTATCCTTTTATGCGTTGCGGTTGAAGACATCATGCAAAATAGAACAACTTCTGATTTTCATATTTCATTTTGTTTACAAGTAATATGAGTATTTTCTTAAATATAATGATTCACTTCAGAAACAATATAAAGAAGATCTAGTCACAATGTTCAGCATGGACATGAGTTCACTTTTGTGATAGAATTAGTTTCTGTTGCTTACAGAACCCAGTGATATCAAATAAATTGATTGAATTATACCAAATGAAAATCTAAAGTTTTTTTTTCAATTTATTAATAGATCTAAATAGTTTTAGTTTAAATCTGTTGTCTTCCATAGTCAAATATTAATCGAAGTATATTAATCTTTCAATCATCACTATCATTTTCCAACTTTCGTCTATTATTGTTTTCAATGTGGAAAATGTCTGCTACACTTCATTTGATTATCTGTAAAGTAGATAAGATAACTGAATGAGTTGGTACATTCTGTTCTATCCTGTGTCTTATCTTTTCTTATCTTGCTCGTTAATCTGGACAGGACTGCTTTTATCTTGTACTCAACTCAGTATGATATATGTTGGTATGTGATGTATTTTTCACTCAGTACAGCAATACTCACTGTCCATGAACTGGAAAATTAAAGGAATGCTTTAATATTTCATATAAACGTATAACTTAGCGTAAATATATATCAAACAATCTCAATATTGAAGGTAAAGGTGCCCTTAACTGATTGATGTCAAACTAGTGATGAGAATTAAAGAATTCGAGTAAATGTGGTATTTCAATAGAATGACAATGTTTTATCCAGATTTTCTCTTTCAGAGGAACGATTTAAAACTCCTGGAAGGTGAAGTTCTATATTTAGCAGCACAAATACATAATATGTGGTACAATAACTATAAACTCTAGGAAGATCAACCAGATCTTCTGAGATACACTGTCCTCTCGACCCTCATGCTGGATAAAACACTGCAAGGTATTCAAAAAAAGTCTAGAAAAAGAGGAACAGAAATAGAATTGTCAGATTTGCTCGAATTCTTTGAATTCCAATACAAGCTGAATGTTATGGAAGAAGGCGTTTTCATTTCAGATAATGACGTGAAATAGCTAGATTTATTCGAAATCCTTCACGTGAATAATCTTAATTTGCAATGAATTATTTTATTATGTGGAAATCTCAGTTTTTTCCGATCAGATTATTTTTTATTAAGAAAAAGATCGTCAAATGAAAAAAAAAGAAAGTTCAGCACTTTCCTACTTTTAAAAATTGATATATACAGTGGGGTGCAAAAAAAATTGCCGTTAGTATTTGATAAAATTATCCCACTGAACACGATGAATATCATAAAGTGTTTTTATATATAAGTCGCACATACAATAGAGTATCCAAATATAATAATCCATAACTAGCTCGCTTTCTCCCCAACCAAAAAAGAAGTAAACACTATGCTTTTATTGATGCGCTCAAATAAGTTAGGATCGTTTTGCCTATGTACCTGGATTGTATCCTAGCCTAAAATGTGTGTTTTGAAGAAAAGTGAAAGAAGCCATGAATCTCGTTTTGGATCAAGGTTTTGTAGCCGAAGTTTGAGCTCGATAGGATTTCTAAGACAGGAAACAAACTCAATACCACCTTCTCAACTTGTGACTTCGATTTGACCTTGAAGATGAATCTTGAGAATTATTCACTTGGAACAAAATTCCATCTACTAGCTGTGGTCTGTCTACTCTGAAAATTTCAAGTCGATTGGACAAGCCATGATCGAGATAATGTAAAAATTGGGTGGGAGCGCCATTTGTGCTGGAAGTTCGACAGACCTTGATATTCCATTTGTTTCTAAGATGCCTTGTGGTTGAAGCTCATTTGAATTTTGTTAGATGCTATGGACAGAGACCTTCCCTAAGAAGACGATTTTCGTAGCTCAATGATTGCTGTAGTCCCGTCAGTGTAAGATAACCGCTCGATATGGCAGAAAAGCGGTGGATGCTCGAATCACGATGTCTCTCAGCCTATGGAACCATACTTTTGGAGGTGTCTCGCTCTCACCACAATCTATAGCATCTCTTTGACTGTCGATGGAAGTTTCAGAAGAATCCATTCATGCACTTCACAGATATGGTTCGAGAAAATGCATATATGCAACGGCAATTTTTTTTGCACTTCACTATATATATCTTTTCAGCTCTCAAAAAATTTCCTTGCACTCCTTCTCATTTTCACTTTTTTCTCTTCGCCACATCCCTATCTTTGACGTATCGTTTATATGATATCTTACTACTATCAAAAACTTGATAATGAAGAAAATAAATAAAACAAAAAACATCATGTCAAATACTTTCACGATATATTAATAGAAATGAACAATAATAATAATATTTTTTACAAATATCAAATCACTGATGCATATCAAATAATTTCATAGTCCAATAAAATGCTAATGGAAGTCAATGACAGTCGAAGAAAATTGCAAAAATCAATATCGAAATAACTTACAAGAAAAATAAAAATAAACTTTATTCTATTAAAAAAAAAATACTAGAAAAATTGATATTATTTTTCAACCATCATAGAAATCCGAGTGTCCCCTACGAATATATTGATTTCGATCTATGATACAAAAAAAAGTGATAAAAAATGAAAACAATAATCTTTTTGTTTTAATAACACTAACTTGATTGTTTATAAGCTGCTGGGATAGGTGCATAATCATAAACAGCAGGTTTTTGCAACATTCGATTATTTATCGTCGGTTCTGAATAACTAATAACAAAAAAAAAAACAATAGACTTATTAAAAAGAAACAAAGAAAAACTTTCCAACATACTTATTAACACCGGATCGTTTTATATAATGATGATCACGTGTATTGACTCTTTTTGCAAATGGATCAAATTGTGTTGATGAATTATATCCACTAGTTGTTCCACGAGAATTTCTTATATTATTTCGATTATTTCCACCAGTTCTATTATATGATGGTGATGTTTGATTAGTAGTTTCACTGTCTGAATCATCACTTGAAGCTAGAAAGAAAGTTTTTCTTTCATCTTATTTCATTAGATAAATTAATATTTACTAGTAGATTTAGTCTCAGATGAGTGTGTACTATTATTAGAAGCAGTTGGACTATGTAGACGGGTTGATGGTACTTGTGAATGATATGGTTTAGATAAATTTTTATCAGGTACATTTTTTGAAGTTGATGGTAAAGAATTCGGTGCATTAGATTGAGAATGTACTGGATGAGGAGAACTTAAATCTCTTGAACTATGATTTGTTGCTTGTCGTTTAGATGAAATTTGAGGAGATGCGTTATCATTATTGATTGGTAATCTAGCACCACTTTGGTATAGATCAAATTCACGTGCGAGAGTTTCACGATTATCTATCAAATAAAAATTTTTGAAAGCCAAAATATTTTTTTTCAAGGAGTTCGAATGCTTACTTAAATCCTTGATATCAGCAAGATTTGATGATGTTACTGCTGCTTTTCGATCACTTGATATAGGCAAACGTCTAGAACTTTGATTTAAAGGAAAACGTGGAGGTAAACCATTGAGAGGAGTTCTTCTTTGTAATTGAGATTGAGGTGTACTTCTTATTGTTTGTATTATTCTAGTTGGTATATAATCTGTAACTTCAAATAGTCTTATTCGACCTGTATTTTCATCAAAAATTTCTACACAACGTTGTTCTATACGTTCTCTTAAATCTGTTAGATATTGTTTTCCATTATGTTCAATTATTGTACCATTAGGTTGAAATGATGATAATTGATTATTATTGAATCGTCGTTGATTATTAAAATCAATAACAGAACGAGCTATTACAATAGCATCATTATTGATTGGTTCATTATACATTGGAAAATTCAGTTGAAAATAATATGAAGGTTTTCGAATAATTAATTGTTTTTCTGGTTGATATTGCTCTTGTTGTATTTGATTATCAGTAACAGGAGTAAGATTTTTAGGTTGAAAAGACTATAAAAATAATTTTCTATAAAATAGAACAAAAACAAAACGAATCATCACCTGTATTAGTGTCTGGTTCAATGGAGAACGTGGTTGTTCGTTAGAAGAGTCAGGACTTTGTTTTTTCAATTGAGAAAAACGCACAGGATCAGGAATCTATTTATTAGAACTATACACTTAAATTTAATATTAAACATTACAAAAATTTACCGAAAGTGTACCAACAAGAGGATGTTGTTGTAACCTATCTTGCACGTCAAATTTCGCTAGGCCAATAGATTTTCGTGGTTGTTTTTCAAGCACACGATTATAATCCTTGTTCGAACTGTCATGTATACTTATATTAGGTATTTATTTTATTGACTTATCGTATATATTGTTTTCTCTCTGTGTCCCTGACAAAACACTATAAGTTTATGACTCACCTTAATAACGTCCCCATTCAATGACTTGTCTTGTTCGAAGAGAAAAAACACAGTTGAAGAAAGAAACTGATCATACAAACACATTCCTCATCGTGTTTCGCTTGAATGCTTTTCTTCATTTATATACAACATTTAAATGATAGGGTTGACTTTTAATTACCATAGGAAAAAGAAAAACCAAGAATCAAACTATTTACATTAAAAAAAAACCTGACTACAAATCAGTAACAGAAGCACGCATTAATGTTGTTTGATGAGATTTTGTATTAATTAATTTTGTTGATTTATGAGAATTTGATACAATTGAATCTGTATCAGTACTTGATGATGAAAATGAATAACATCGTCCATTAAGACGACGATCAACTGATAATAATGGTATAATACCACAAAAACGTGAATTTCCATTTGTCGATGATGATGATGTTGATGAACTTGATGATGCACTTGATATAATTGATGATGATGGTGTACTTTGAATACGTGGTGGAGGATTTGGTTTAGGTTTTTTATTTATTAATGATGTTTTATCATTTGTTATTAATTGTTGAGAAAATGTTACTTTTGATGTAGGTTTTATAGATGATTGTAAATGAGTTTTCGAATCATTTATTATTGATGAATTTATTAATGCTTGTCGAAGTACATATGATGATGAAGGAGATAAATAATTGTTCGAATCAGTTGAACATATACTTGTTCGTGTACTTAAAGAATTTGTTAAACTTCGATTATCAAAATATCCATTGACCTAAACAAAAACAAAAATTTTTTACATTGAAAAACATATAGAATTCAGTTTTACTTGATCAGAATTTGGTTTTATTTGTTTAAGATTTTCTAATTGATTTTCATAATGTAAACGACGTTCTCGTATTTTTTCTGCTTTCTAAAAGACAAAAAAAAAAAACAGTCAAGAGAAAAAAAGCAAAAAAAAAATTTTTTCACAAACTTCAATAGCTTTAATTCTTCCTTCAGAATTTAATGTTATCGATTGAATTTCTTCTAATAAACGTTTTCGATCAACTAATTTTTCATTTATATTCAATGAAAATTTTCGTAATGATTTATTTTGTTGATTACATGCTAATCTAAAATGAAAAAAAATATTTTTTTTTTCTTTCTAGTTTATATATTATGAAAAATTTTACTGTTTTAGTTGATAAAGCATTGTTGTTAAACGTTTACATTTTTTAATTGTATAATCCAGACATTCAGGTTCTTCATGTAAAAATCTAACAAAAGAAAATTATTTCATTAATTTATAAATCACTTTTTTTAAATAAGTTTTATTAAGACTAGACAAAATATAACAAGATTTATGACCATAGTTTTTCAAAAAAATGTCATGATCTTTCACTAGAACTCTACATTGAACTTCCAAATTCGTCTACATATCTATTATATCTACAACAGGTCTCAATAGCCATCATCTTTGATATCTTGAATCTAAATTTTTATCTGCATAAAATAAAACACTGTCCTACTTAGAACATTTACGAATGTATTTCAGGCATTCAAATTTCGAGGATGGCTTCGGAATGTTCTAGAACAATCTAAGTTTTGTGATTAGTGTCTTTCAGCAACTTTTTCCGTTGATAAGGAACTTTTCTGACGCTCGTTGTCCTCGGTTGCTATGGAAACGTACCCAATGACCCTTGACCTCCGTTGCTATGAGAAATGTGGAAGGAGTCACAGAACCTCGACAAAAAACTTTTCCATATGGATAATTGACATTTTCACAATCATTTAGTGTCCGTGGTAGAATTAAAGAAAGACGAGTGTAAGCTCAATAACTCGGTAACGGCAACAGTTAGCGATCCAAAGAGCAGAATATCGGACGTCTTTTTACTTGATACTATATAAGAAAAACTTTTTTAAAATTATCATCGCCATAAAACGTTCAAAAAAATACATGAAAATAGTGTTGTGTTCGGATTTAATTTTGATTGGGGCATGTTTTTTTTAGATTGAGAGACTCAAATCTATAATTCAAGTAATTATCGTCTGATATCTGAATGTTAGATCAACAAAATTGCATATCTACTCAATCAAATTCTATAGAATTCTGTTGATTTTTAGCAAATTTTCTGACTTTCGATCAAAATCTCCTTGCAATAAAATACTATTTCGATGTATTTTTTTTTGAATGCCTTACGAAGATGGATGTCCGAAGTTCTCCTCATTCGATTGCTGAAAGATGCAGATTGCTAGCTGTTACCGTTGTCAAGTTATTAAGACTACACCCGCCCATTTTTAATTCTGGCAATGACATGAATCCCATTGAAAAATTTGTTTCTATAAAGTTTGAACTCGAAAGTCGATTTTGAAGATAATCAAAGTATTTTGTTAGATAGACGCATAGACATGAATTTTTTTTTTCGAGATTTTCTAATTTCAATAGGGTCTATCTAATAATGTAAGACTCTATTCAAAGGTGATTTATCATTTTGCAATGTTACTTTGTAAAGATATATATTTTTGTATTTTTGCTTACTTTATTATTAATGGTTGATTACATGAAGAAAGTTTTTCACGTAATACAGGAAAAGTAGCTGTGGAAAAAAAAAAGATTTTATTTCAAAATTTAATTAAAATAATTTTGTTTTTATTTTTTAATTACTTTTTAAATCAACTAATGAACGACTTATTGTACTAAGCACTAATGCAAAACTTTCGACATCATTTATTTTTGCATAACATTGTTTGAATTTGACATCATTTTGAAATTCTTCAACTGTTAATTCTAAATCTCTATTTAATGATAAAATAATAATTATTTTTATGAGATAAAAAAAAAAAAATAAAAACAAATATGTTTTAGTAATACTCAAGATCTTGATCAATTTTAGTACGATTATTAACATATAAATCAAATTCATTTTTAATTTGACGAATTATTTCATTTTGATTTAATCGTATAAATTGTTCCTTTATATAGAAAAATAATAATAAAAAGCAATATTTTCTTTTCTTTTTTTATGATAATTTAATCAATAATTTACTTGAATTTTTTTATTTGCTTGTTCAAGTTCATTTTTAAAATTTTCATGTAAGGATTGTTGCATACGTCGTATTGAGAATAAATCATTACGTAATGTATGAGTCTTGATTTTTAATTCATGTAATTGTTGATGTAAAGATTTATTATAATAATCTAATACTGTTTTTGATTTTATTGGATTCGTTAATTCTTTAACTAATGCAGTTAATGATTCAAGTTGTTTTTCCATTGATACCATTTTAGTACTAAAATCAAAAAAACTTAATTTCAATCGAATCAAAGTATCGTACGAAAAAAAAGACATTATTTTTGTCTTAGAATCTCTCTCTAAATTATCAGAGATGATGAAATCGAATCGATCCTATCTTTGTAACTTTCAAGGAAATCTCTCAAAGTAATACTCTCAGTTTGAGCTTAGAAATAGTATTTATACTTTAGATGAGAATATAAAGAAAACAACGGCAATACAAAGCTTTCGTTTGAAATTTTTCCTAATAGCAGATCTCATAGCACTTATTATATTCTGAAAGTTTCAACTCAAATGGATAATTTTTTCGTAAGTCTCATTCTTTCTGGGATTTCTGAAGAATGGTTCATCAGAAATATTTGAAACTTTCAGAGTAGATAGATCTCAATGAGTAGAACAAAAGTTGTCATAGATTTCAAATTGGCAAATGCCTCCTTCTAGGACATATCTGAGTTGTAAAAGCTAAAAATCGCTCAACTTTCTCAGCAGCAATACGTTCGATAAAGCTGGAATCTTTGTCGACAAATACTAGACATTGTTTTGGCTGTTCTCTTTTGGTTTCTTTTAGCTCCTTGGATTCAAATACAAAGATTAAAATACTGGGCGTACCTCCAAAAATACATGGTTTTTTTTAACATCTGCCAAAGGTCAAGAGTGCAATATTTCTTAAAACAAAAAAATGGATGATTCTGCACTCCTAAGATATGAAATAGCGTGAAAATGGGCTATTACGGAAGTGTTTGTCGGATGGTAATGTTCTTTGTAAATGTATTATCTCAGAAGAGAAGCATTCGTTTGAGCGAAAACTTGCAGAATATAACAATCCCCATGAGATGTGCTAATCGCGTAAAAGTTCAAATGGAAACTTCTTATTACGATTTTTTTCATTATATTCTGCAATACGCTGAAAATTCAGTAAAATAATAATAATAATTCGAGAAGAAAAGCCTAAAGGCATGAACCCTTTTTGGTTGTTCATATAAACAACTTTTTTCTGAGCAATTCTAGTAAAATTTCATTCAACCAAAAAAAAAAAAGAATAATAATTTTGTATTACCGAGCAGCTTCTTCATCATTTCGAGGTGTTGTTGGAGTACTTCTTGGTGATGATAATATACCTTTTAATACTATAATATAAAAGATATTAGATAGATATTAAAAGATTTATTTATTTATTTATTTATACTAACTAGTAGCTGGTTGTGTATGACCAACAGATATATTTCCATGTCTTAAATCATTAAGAGAATATGATGAAGTATCATTTGATTTATTTTCTATAGATCCATTAGTAGATGATGTAAGACCAAAACGATTTAAACGTTGACAATTCATTTCATTTTTAATAATAGGACCTGATAATTCATAAATTTCAGGTTCTTTAAAAGAAACATGTGGCTTATTATTATTATTATTATTATTATTATTTAATTGAACAATTTTTAATATAGAACGATCTTTAACATCACTGTATTGAAACAAAAAAAAATTATTTTTTCTTTTCATAATAGGTTTTTTTTGAAGATTACCTCATATCTTCTAATTGATAAAAAATATCTTTATCTGATTCACGTATATAAATACGAATACAATCACTATCCATTTGTTTCATTGTCAAATATTGTGGAAATGCTCTTTAATTAAAAATAAAAAATAAAACTAAATCTTCTACCAAAAGAAAAGAAAACCAAAATTTTTTACCGAACAAATAAGGCTTTAAGTGTATCCAAACATGAAATATAAGCTGGTAAAAGAACTTTTTTTGTTTCATTACCACAAATTAAAAAACAAAGACCTAAAAATTTTTTCTTTTACTCTTAAATTTATTTTAATTTAAAAAAAATTAATTACCAAGTGAATTTGATTTTGATTTATTTACGGCAGGTTTAACTATAAATGGAAGACTTGACCGAACACGATTATTACGATTGAAACCTAATTATAGAAATATATATATATATAATTAGAAATTTATTTCTACCATTGATATATCCTATTGGTAATTCATCATCAGTTGGATCAGTTGATGATGAACGTTGATGTAATGCATTATTTCTTGACTATTTAAAAATATGAAATATTTTATTAATAATAATAATAATCAATAGTTTTTTTCTTTACCATCATTGATGTTGGATTTTTTTTCTTCAGTATATCACTAACAATACGTTGCTGTCGATTATCATTCTAAAAAAAAAAAGAAATTTCTCCTTGTCGTAACTCATTCATTCATAAAATTAAATTAATTCAGATTCATATCCACTCATTTGCCTCTGGACAATTATAGGATCTTTGAATTACATTTTTGCAATCTTCTGTCTATCTATTCTTATTTATTCATACCACTCATGTGTCTGTTCAAGCATCATCTCGTGAATTGTATATATGGACTATACATTATGCAATAGGAATGTAATAAACATACTAGAATTAATCATGGGATAAAGATGATTTCTTAATAGTTCTTTCTCTCTCATACGTTGTCCTATATGTTGAAACACAAAAAAAAAAAGAAATGATTTTATTTCGGCTGACTGCTATAGATTAAATATGATGGTAGAAAAAAAAAACCTTCAATAAATCGTGTGGAACTAACAGTGTCACTTTGTCGCTTTAGGTTAGTATTTATAACAAAAATGATGACCATCAATTGATTTTGATTGATAGAATTTCTCTAGGGAACTTTTACTTCTCTCTCTCTCTCGATTCTTTTACCTTGATTATGCTATCATGTGAAAAGTATTTAGAACAATAATTTTTGACGTTAACTTAAGATTGTTACTATTACTTGCCAATTACAACTCATTTATAATATGAATTCGTCGACTTGACATCTATATACTATTCGTTCATATGTATTCTTTCTTTCTTTTTTTCTCGTCTTCTTACATTGACGTTAGTTGGTACAGACAAGTTGTCGAAGTAAATCTCGTTCAGACACAAAAACCATGTCTTGAAAGAAAAAAGATAATGTTGTAAAAAAAAAGGGAACGTGCAGCAAACAACGGATGCATAAATAGGATATTGATGTTGCGAATAAATCTCAAATGAATCTTCGACTTCCAAAAAAAAAAAACTAAACATTAATATCTTCATTCTTTCCTTTTGGCGAGTAGTAACAATGGTCCTATATGTGTGTATACAGTTGTCCGACCATGGCCTATACTAATTCCACACAGCAGAAGTCTGAAAGATGAAGAATTGTAGTGAAAGAGAAGAAAGAATAGAGTATGTACAGGAAGCTAAATATAATGGCAATGATCAAACGATTCAAAGCAATACAGGACGTAATACAATACAATGAATAGACAATATGTGCACGCATGAGGCAAGACAGTGTCCCCTCGAGTGTCTTTCATCATAATGACTAATTTCTTGAAGCAAAGGGAAACACGAAACATATTATCCAAGGAATTGAGTCAAGAGAGAAAGAAAGAGAATAGATATTCATTGTAAAGAGTCATATAATTAGTTAACTTTTTCTTTTCTTTAGTTTAAATTATTCATTAAGCAAAAAAAAAAAAGAAATCTATTTAAACTTCTGATCTAAAATTTTAATTAAAAATATCTCGAGAATTTATTCACCTGTGAATATTTTTCATTATTATTATTATTATTATTATTATTTTTATCATCTATTTCAAGACATTCATCTTCTTTAACTGCTTGTAATGGTACAAAATTTCCATTTGTAATCATATTTAAACATTTATTATGATTATTTAAAATTGATGTTTCAATATCACATGTTGATTTTGATTTCAAATGATTCATATCATTTTTTATTGGTGTTATTAATTCACATGATGATGTTGTTGCATCAGCTGATCGACTCATAATTGTTGTTGAATCATGACGAAATGAATTTGATGGTGTTGTTGATTGTGATGAAAATGATGAAATTGTTGTACTACCAATACTACGCATGGAATCTGTACGAACTGGTATAGGTGGTCGTCGTTGTTGACGTATTGGTATATAATGATTTGTATCATTTTTAAGTGTTGTTGTTGATTTCATTTTTGGTGGTGTTTCAGCATAAATATTATTTCTTTCTATATCAGAAAAATCCGCTGTAATCGTTTTCGGTGAAATAATTGATTTCATATTTTGACAAGATTTTGTTGATTGATAATGATCAATATCGTTGGATTTATTTTTTCGAGATATTGTATTTGTTGAAGAATCAGTAACTAAGAGAAAAATATAGATAATAAGATTCTATACTGCTGACAAAAGAAAATAACATATATTGCCATTTACTTCTTAATCAAGGTGATAGATGTCTGTTGTTTAAAGTATCGGATGATCTATTTTCTTTGATTCAAAAAAAAAAAAAAACTCAAAGTTCAAGTATACAACTATTTCAACATATACTTATATTTGTTTAACAAAAATATTCAAAGTTTTCAAAGAATGAAAGAAAAAAGAAAACTTAAATTTAATACTATACAAGTTGATTCTAACCTTCTCATAATGTATATCTTATTCTTAACTAGAAAAAGGTCAATACTCATTGCATAGTATCTATAAATTTATCTTGATCTATTTAAACAACAAAATAAAGTCTTATTCAAGGTAAGAAGAAATATTAAAATGAATTTTCTTCAAAAAAGAAAAAAAGAAAATTCAATGAACTTAACATCATTGGTTTGTGTTCAACGAAATAAAGATCTCTAAACATAAAAGAAACAATTGAATTTTATACTACCTGCTGTTACACACGAGGTCATTGATATATGAGTAGTAACAAATAAAGCGAACGAAACTAGGGATTGACTCGAGAATAAAATGATGAGGTAAAACTTTATTTGCTAACCGCCGGAGTGCAGTCAGCATGTATAAACTACTACCGAAAGGTGATACATGCGCGTGCATTGAATGAACTCTTCAATGATATTACATCATCAAACCAAAAAAAAACAGAATCAATGAACTCGAAAAGTTAATGAGCAAACACTTACTTTCATATGTTTGTTTAACCATCCAATGCCAAATATAATCAGAGATTTTTCTCATCGAATCAAGACTGTTACTATTCGTTATTATTCTTCCTTTTATTTTTTTTTTGATATCAAATTCATCCGTGTATATTCTGAATTTATATGTTTAAACTTCTATTCTGTCTTTATTTTTTTTTTTTTTTTGTTCTTTTGTTTTTAAACGAAAGAATAATGTCACAATGGCAATGAAGAAGAACAAGAAGAAATAAAAAAAGTGATGAAATTCATTCCTACATTGAATCAATGATTATAGGCAAGAACATCGGATTTATAAGAACCGGAACTATGAACATTCATGTTCTACACTAATTTAATATTTGTTCAATCTGATTAAAGATACAATACAAATATTTAGTTACCAATCATTTGTCCTTGACGATCAGAATGTCACTTGTCTTCGTCACCAAAAAAAAAGACAGAAAAAAAAACACAACTTGTTAACTGAACATAACTATTCAAGACATATGTTTATCCGAAAGTTATGTTCAATCTTTGCTAATAATAAAAAAATATCAAGAAAGTGTTTCGAGCCAATTAATGAATAGATTGATCAATCTAGTAGATTTTTTATTAGTTACAGCTATATCAACATTGATCATTATCTCATATGTATTCAATCAAATGTTTGATCTCAATGTCAAGGCGATAAATATGAAATTGAAAGCAATGACACAATAGGTTTTTTTTTTGTATATTCTGACATATGACACAGATGTTGATTGTACTTACATTGAAGAAAAAAAAAATGACACTTAGAATTCACATTATCGAAATGATCGATACATTCCTTTTATTGCAAATGTAATATCCGATGATAATGATGATGGCATTTGAAAGAAGAAAAAAAAAAGTTCTTAAAAATAATAGAGTCAATCGAACATTTTTTATTCAGTAGGTGAAACAATAGAAAAGGATTTCAAATATAAAATAAACTAATTTTCTACCTGTCAATTTATATGTCATTCGTCGATGTGTAAAAAGATTTTCCAAAGATCGTGTTATAGAAAATCGATCGATCAGTGGTGAACACATAATTGATGTTGAAGAAAAATACAAATTCAAAACAGTTTATAACTATACTATACGTTATTTCTTATCTATCCTTTTTCTATCTTGATTTGCTTCTATATATATATATATATATATACATATGTATATACATCTAACATCTCAACTCTCTCTTTCTTCCTATTCTCTTTTTTTTGCTCATTACATTTTGTCACACCTGCTTTTTTTTTCTTTTTCTTTTTTTTTGTGATTATAATCAATTAAAAACGGTCGATGTCATAATCATGATAAAACAAACTAGTTATACAATTTGTTGAGTTTTTTCTTAACTTAATTAAAAATTTTCTAAATATGTTGACAACAAATAATCTCTCATCTTACTCTAATCTAGATATTACCTGAAAAGAAAAGGAGAAGAATAACTTTATGAACGATAAGAATTGTTGTGGATTTTTTTTTTCTTTTTGTGTACTTAAACGTATTTCATATCATTGCTTATATATTCAAATGAATAATATGTTTAAGTAAAATGAACAGAAATAGAAACCTATTTATCATTCACATTTATAATAAAAGAAAAAAAAAATTAGACGGTTTACAGCTGGTTTAGAATTGACAATGACTCATTAGATTTTAATGGAGTTAAAGTATTGATATCTCATATGAAATTCTTCATTTTTTTTTTTTTTTATATATTTGAATGAAGAAAAAAATAGACAGACAGACGTATACGTCTCATTAACTATATAAAAATGATTTTTTGTTATGTAAATGCATTTTACTAAACTTCCGCCTATCGACAAATCAATCAAGCATATGATATAAAAGTTATTTATATTGAAAAGTAATTCAAAAATATCATAGTTAGCTTTTTCTTACTAGAGAAAAAGAAACCTCAAAACAAATAAACGTTAATTTATTACTAATAAATATATTAAATTTATCTATTATATCAATATTTAGCATGTGTTTTTAATTATTTTGTTTACCTTGTTTCATCCAATGATGATGAGATGAGTTTCTTAATATCCAAATATTTTCATCAGTTGAAATAGTCTTGATCATTTGATCAATTTTCATAGCTTATAATATAACCCTATATATTTAATAAATATGTTTGACAACTATAATAATCTAGATTCAAATATGTGTTACATTCAGATAACGTACAATTATAAGATAGAAATGACAATAATAGATGTTGAAAGATTATAAATACGATTTACATACTTATAAAAAAAAATTGCTGTCAAACAAATGATCTTTTATTTATTTTTTTGACTAACTTATATTTCCTCATTCGATGAGAACAAAAAATAAAAGAATATGAGTAGATGAATTATAGTAATCTGATTCTGCTTCTTTCTTTCTTTCTTTCTCTCTTGTATATCTTCGTTCAATTTAGAACGGTAGATATTTTGATTGAATTAAATACGCTCAAGAAATATGAGAAAATTATATTTCGATGAAGGTCATCATCAACTGTTAGAAAAAAAACATAACAAACTAGAAAAGAAGGCGGAGAGAAGAAAAATATTTTTTGTCAATGTGTAAACACTGGCATCGCTTATGAACATGTGTCCGAACTAATTTGAACACACACATCTATGATCAATTGAATGATCAACGAGAAAGTAATGATATACAATGAAGAGAATGTAAACATCTGCTCGAGTCAATTATATCTATCGAAGACTTACTTATAGTTTTTCGACTAGTCATTTTTATGATACTATAAATAAATATATATATATATATATATATGAAACTTCTCCGAGAAGTACCAAGTAAATTTAGTTTTTTTTTTGCATGAATAAAACACAAATCGTTTTTGTTTGAATAGAGACTTGTCACTAAACTGAACAAAGACATGAAAATAATTAACAGGAAAAAGAAAAAGCTATTAAGTATCCATTCGAAGTATTTAAAAAATCCTTGACATATGAAACTATGAATATATATTTGCAATTGCATACACATTGGATACGGTGACAGACATATATACAGTCAATCATTACATAAAAATAAAGAATATATTATATTAATGACAAACATTAGACAAGGACTATTGAAATAGAGAACAATATATTAAGGTCAAATATTGATTAATATGTAATGTGCCATAATAATTTTATTAATAAAAAAAAAAGCTGATATTATGCGTGAGTATAATAAATTGAATTAATACTTCTTAATTCTAAATTAAGATATTTTTATCGGCACTTATTTTATCGAATGAGTCGATAATTATACATAATAAAGAAGATATGAATATCTAAGTATGCTCAACCTTTTCTATGTTTTTTTAAATTTAATTAGCTTTATTTACTGACATTCTTTTTTTTTACTGAATGAACAAAAAGAATATGTAAGAAGTAATATGCAATCGAATGTTTGTCTTTTCTCTCATGTTTTGTGAATTTTATTGTGTAATAATTCACACATTGTTTAACAATACGGGTTAATATTTATTTAATAGTAGTCATATGAGACTCAAACGAATGCGACGTTTTTTCCTATTAAATATTTCATTTATAAACAATAGAGAACTTACGAATATATGATGTTTGAAGATATCTTTGTATTTTTGAATCAGATAAGCCCATAGTTTAATAATATGCTGATCAATTTATAGAATTCGATTAAAAGAAAAAATAATAACAATTACGTCGATTGTCTTTCAATCGTAGTGATGATGTTCTATGTGTGTGTGTGTGTGTGTTAATCTAAAATATAAAAGTGTGATGATGATGACCGCCGACTCGTTTTCATACAATAAATTGTAAACAAAAGCCATACTCAATAATTACGTGCCTGATCCTCCGATTACAAGAACAACATATGCATACACATATGTATGAACCAGGGTGTGTAATAATAAAGAAAGCTCTAATCGACTAGTTATGTATATGATAGGCATAAGATGAAAGTGAGATAAAAAATAAAAAAAGAAAAAGAAAAAGAGAGCGACTAGTGACGATGTCATCTGAGAAATGCATATAAAATTTGTTTTTTTTTGTCGATGTCGTACCACTCTAGCACGCTTCATAGAATGAGAACGGTTAGAAGAGATAAAAAACAGAGAGATTGAAGATGAACATTTTGCTAACTTCTAGAAAGGATAACTATAAATTATGAGACAGATGTGTATCATTGATCATATTGAGGAAATGTGAATGGATAAACAAAAAAAAAACGAAGATACAATATTGATACTCTTCTGTTCACATTTCAGTCATGATTTGTATATAAATAGACAGACAGGAAAAGATTCCATAAAGGATATAATAATCAAGCTAATAAGGAATGTATACTTTTCAAAACATACTTCATGATATTGACTACAATACTGATTTAAAGTAGAAAAATAAGTATTCTTTAATATTTTAGATAATAAGAGAAATACTTTATTGAAAAGAATATATAAAAGTGTTCATCACATTTATTATTTTGGTGTGAAAAGAAGTTTTAGCAATTCTATATAAATCAATATTTCTTTTATGTCTTCCAATAATATTTTCTTATGAAATTCAATTCTTCACCTAAATCAATAACTCGATTATACTATTGCGTTGACAGTTCATACTTACCTCGTATTCTTTGATTGTGCATACAAACATACAATCACTCACTGTAATACATCTTAACGTGTAGATTGTGTATTTACAGTTGACCCGTAATTGAATTGGTTCTTTTGAGTTGTTTCATCAGGTATATGCATAGTTTCTCTCTCTTTCTGTTTCTCTATATTCTATTCTATGTTTATATCATAATGATCGTGCTTAATAGAACTATTTGATTTTACTTCTTTTGGTGTACCTCCACCTTCTCTTTTTTTTTCTATTCTTGACTACATAGGAATTATCATGATCATTTGTTCAGTTATTGAATTGAGTGCACACTGTTAGATTATATGTGTGATTATGTGTTACTATGTCTATATAGGAATGAATGACAAAGACAAACATCACATTGTGACAGGATTCAAGCGACTATTCATAATTTTGTAAGTTTCTTTTTTTCGTAAACGGAGATAAGTAAAAATGAATTCTTATTCTCACAAATATTGTCTAACTTCTATGTATGTTATAATTATATAGTATTTCTCAACAGAATTTAATTAAAGCAAACCTATAGATACTTATATTAATAATTTGATTTATCTATTAAATAAAAAGATAAAAATGATTGTCAATATAATGAATAGACACAAAAATGATTGTAAAGAATGAACTTAATCACATTCTCTATCCATTTATCTTGATCTCTGTTAATGGTACAATGTATGTGAAGGATGAGTGTGTGTGTGTGTGTGTGTGTATGTATATATTAGATATGATTCGATTAAACGTATGACTAGAAGAAAAAAAAAATATCCATCTTAGTATATAGATAGATAGAGAAGAAATTCAGGAGAACTTAGTCAATCGATTATAGCACGCGCATAATCAATAACTAATTTTAATAAGAAATGTTGCTACTACTATTATTTTCAATAAGACTATACTCTGAATTGAAGAGATTACGTAATAAACATTTTGATTAATCACAATATCTTGGATAACATCAATCTTTTCTTATACTCTACGTGATGTCAAATGTTCGTTCATGCTTCATATGTGGTCGTGCAAGTGATCCAGTTATATATATTTATTGTCAATCATTACAAAGATTATAGTTTGTTTTTCTTCCATTCATTGGCACTGTCTTTATAATCCATCTGGACTGTTTATCGACAGTTTCGATATCCTGTTATGAATGATCATAGCAGGAACAATCTAATCTTATTAAAACTATTCCCACTTGAATAATTGAATCGGAAATGGTTTCTTTTCTTATTTTAACTGCTAATTTATATGCATAGTAATGTCTCTTGATAGCTGATTACGATTACATCAATATGAATCACAATCTAGATCAATATTTGAAGTTAAATAACGTTTGCCTATAGATAAGAACTAATTATCATGTTCTCTTTTTATCCATCAAATAATAAAATACTATTGGAATGGCGAATAGAAAAGAAAAAACATTACCAATGATAGTCAATCTAGATTGGGAAATAAAGAAAAATATGATTATAGTCAGTCTTCGATTTTTTTTTAGTATTGTAATTAAGAGTGAATATGTAATAATAAGTTGGTTAAGTTGCTTTATATAGATTAATACTTTTTTTATTGCTGTTATTCACAAAAATCAAAATTTCGAAAGTTTTATAGGATTTCACGATAAATTTTAATTTCTATTTTAATGTTCAATGGAAAAAAGAATAAAAAGAATGGCTAATATTTTTTTTCTCATTTGCATATGCTATTCATTGAAGACAAGATAATTCAACTAATTTTTTGAGTCTAACGGGTGTCAGAATAAATAAGCCTCTTCATACTCAATATTCAATTCTCTACAAAGCCATAAACAAATGTGTGCTATAGAAATTAAAGCAAAACAGTTATTGTAAAATCACGGTGAATCTGTTCCGATAACAAGTCTCAAGCAGAAAATTCAGTTTTCTTGTATTAAAACGTTCTCACATTGAGATATAGAAATGTCAATCTATCCGTTTTGCAGAGCTTGAAAAATTCTATCATATAGGTAAGTTCGCTGGTTTTTACAACAAACCTCTATCGCATAAAGTAAGCTTCATTTTTTTAAGATTTTCACAAAATCCTCTTTGCATCATAGTGTTTCATATTCTTGAAAAATTTATGTAATTCTACCATAAGTTCTTTTTTCAGAGCAAAATTTGTTTCTATTTAAAAGCTACTGAGTCATACTATAGAAGTCTATTTAATTCCGAATAAATGCTTTTTCCTCGCGATTAGGTTCAAGCAAAACAAAACCTGATATGGCAAGTTTGAATCGATTGTCCAAATATTAGATTCTCTGTCAATATTTTAAGTTTATGTATCCTTTCCTATATACCATTAAATAGGGTACACTTGATTGTACCTGAGATAGTTCTTTCAAGTGTTTAAACAGTGCTTGATTAGTTGGAATAAAGTGCAAATCATTTTGGGCACTTGAGCTTGAAAGTTGTTAATAACACATGTTAGCAGTGTTTTTGTAGGAACTTTTTTGCTTTTACATCTATGGCACACATTTGTCTATGATTCTTTTTTAGAGCATTGAACACTAAGTCTTTGAAGACGAATCTTAGTCCGTAATTATTAAAATTGACAGAGATATTGAGAGACTCATTTATTCTAATGCATCTATTATAATCAAGAATCAAAATTGGTATTCTTTCAATGTGTATGATATCATTTTCTTGTAGTCACCAACATATTACAATTTTCATTATTAATAAAATTATATTTTTCTTTTGTAAAAAAAATTTTTTTTTTTTTTGTAATGCTAGTAAGGTTTTCAAATTTCAAGATTTCTTAATAAATCATAATTGATCTTCACATCTTTCTGTATCATTATTGAAATGATTAAGAACATTTACCGTTTTTTTTTTGATAAGTCATATTCTAGTGGCATCTTTATGTCGCATAAAAAGAATTTTGTCGGAAATCATTTGATTAGCTTAGATTTTATCAACAAAAAGAAAAATTCTCAATTCATGAAATAGATTTTGAATGAGTTCACATTTGTTTTCGATAGTCTGTGTTAAATCAAACATTAAAAAAAGAATATAGAAGTCATTGAATTCCATCATTCAATCGGATAATCTATTTGTTTTATTTGAATAAATTTTTTTTTGTTTATATTTCACGATCATTCATATTGTTTATAACCAACATTATCGTTAAAAAAAAAAAGATGTTTCTCATGTACTATCTTAATGAAAAAGGTGAACGAGTCTACACGTTCAAAGTAAATTTTTTATTATGTTTAATTTTATATGATGTTTGAATTTTTTTTTTGTATAGAAAGTTGATCTCTTAGGTAATCCCACACAATCGGCTCATCCAGGTAAACCTATTTGTTGTAGAATGAATAGAAATGAATAGAGTTTACTCTATTTTTTCTAGCTAAATTTTCACCGGATGATCAATATTCACGGCAACGACTCAAACTCAAAGCACGTTATAAATTACTTTTAACACAAACACCACTACTTAAATGTTAAAATTGTTGTCTTGACATTTTGATTAAAAAAAAAAGTGTATTATTGTTATTGTTGTTTTTGCAATAAACTAAACTATAAGAACGTAATTATTGTAAAAAAAAAGAAAAATTTCGAGCAAGAAATCATTATATAGTAAAAGCAAAAATCATATAATCACTTTAGATCATTGAATATTTTAAGAGACAATTTGGTACATTGTCGAAAATCAATTGAATATTCTCATATTGTATCAAAACAAACTTCAGTTTATAAAGATTGACATAGAATCATTTTAATACTGCAGTACATTCACAAATAATATTTATCAGGCAAGTATTAATAGTTGTGTATAACTTCGAATTAGTTAGATTTGGATGATCTATTGCTAGAAGATAATTTCATTCTGAAATATCGATCTATAAGAAAGTGATTGTTCTTAAATGTTGATTTTCTTTTATTTTGAGAGATATTACTCAAGAGATTCTTTTGCTACTGACTAAACGCGGCATCTCTTTTTCATCAACCCATTTATACATGATCGTCCAATAAAAAATGCGAGGATGCAAAAAAGAGAAAGAGCTCTTCTAAGTGCATATGCTTTATCATTTTGATAATTTTTTTTTATTATCTTTTTTAACATAGTCGTCAGTAAGATTGTTTATTAAAAATGGTTCCACCTCCATCCGGTGATCAAGATTGGCAATTTGATAAATTTAGCGATGGAGGTTCAAAAGGTAAAACAATATAAAATTGTACAATTCATTTAAAAATCTTCTTGATTGTTTTTTGTTTTCGTGTAAAGATTTAGTACTTAATGCCCAATTAAAACGTTACACACGTTTTCTTGCAACACATAAACAAACATTAAGACGTATTGAAGATGCTCTTGGTTCAAATATTACACAAACATGGGATTTTGATTTAAATCCAGCTGAACTTAAAGTAGATATCTTATTATTTTAAATAAGATAATATATATTTATATATATATATATATTTATCTAGTACTTACCTTATGAACAAGTTCAAGTACTTGATTTAATTCGTACAGAAAATAAAATTTGCAATAAAATTATAACTGTATTTGCTGCACTCTGTTGTGAATGTAAATTTTTAGTACATGAATGTGAAAGAAAATATTTACCAGCTATATTATTTTTTGGCGAAGGAGGTTCATTTAATTGATTTTTTATTTTTTATTTTTATTTTTTTTAAATATTTATATAATTTCAAGATTTTTTATAGAACAAGATGCTAAAGAACAACAACAAACATATATGGCACAATTTATATCTCTTCTTCAGGTTTGACTTTTTCTTTTCGTTTTTTCTTTGATTTTTTGATGAATTTAATTGTTTTGTTTTTATTTATAAAGGATTTATCATGTTTTGTTAATCGATGTAATGAAGTAGTAGTAAATATTCTTCAACAACTATCAGCACTTTATACTCCATCGGGTATTCAAAATGGACGGTTAGGATTTTAATTTGTAGGAACCGAATATGTCATTGTAATTTCTTTTAAGGTCTATGCGACTTATGGATGTATCTGATTTGCATTTACCAGTATGTATCTTTACCTTGTGAAACCGCTACTTTTAATAAGTTAAAGATGGTTCAATAAATTGATCGATTTAAAACACTTTGAACCGAACTGATTCGAAACTTCTTGACCAGTTATAACTCTGCTTGACTCCTATAAATGTAGAAAAGTAAAATCGAATAAATTTAATTTCTCCTGGATATATGACTTATATATTAAAGTTCGACAATATAGGCATAATAATTGAGATAACACACCTGATAAGTAAAGACAAATGTAATCTTCTTCGACCAGAGATCAACACTAGAAAAATTTTTGTTTCTAATAATCACAGAAGATATTTAAGAGGATCTCACCTTTTATCCAACACTTTTGAACAATTGCTCAAAGATGTTTGTCGGTAGAAGATATTGCGGTCGCAAGGGTGAAAAATGTCTAACCGCCTCTCACGAGGAAATCTCTCGAGATGCTAAAAAGCTTTTGAGCTCAAACTTTATCCACAAGTAGGCGATGTATAGACTAGAAGAATTCTAAGATGATATTGGCACAAGTTGCGATTTGGCTGAGATATCGACTTTTTACTATAATTCTTATGTAGGAATCCATTTTTCTGGTGAAATCAAAGTTTCGAACTTTGGTCTTAAACTTTGCCCTCATGAATATCTCTACCAGACTAGCCTGTTTACAAAGTTTCAGAACTTTTGGACAAATCCTTTCTGAGATACGTATGGATATTTTGAAAAATTCATATCTCGGAGATGATTCGTTCAAAAATTCTGAAACTTTGCAAGCAAACTAGTCTGGTAGAGATGTTTATGTGGGCAAAGTTTAAGACCAAAATTCGAAACTTTGATTTTATTACCAGAAAAATGGAGTCCTACAGAAGAATTATAGTAAAAAGTCGATATCTCAGCCAAATCGCAACTTGCGCCAATATTATCTTAGAATTTTTCTAGTCTATACATCGCCTACTTGTGGATAAAATTTGAGCTCAAAAGCTTTTTAGTACCTCGGAAGGTTTCTTCATCAAACGCTGAAAACCCACTAAAATAGCCAAAACTCTGATTGAATAATGCATGGAGCCGGACATTGAAAATAATTTTTTTTTTTCGTTGTATTTTCAATCAACCTCATTGAATTTATATTTAGATTGTTTATGATCATTTGGGTGATTTACTTCGTTGTTTAATAACTCTTGATGAATGTTTTCGTTCGAATGTACAAATAGCTGAAAAATGGCCAGCATTTAAAAGGTATAAATTTAATTTAAGATTTTTTTATTTAATAAATTTTAATAATTTAGAATAATAACATCAATTAAAAATAATGTTGATAAAGTTCAAATAGATCTATCACGATTACCTTCATTTGAAAAAATTCTTGTTGCACTTGAAGGTCAACTATTAGATGGACGTATTTTTCAAGTAATATTATAACTCAACAAGTTTTTTATTTAATAAATTTAATTATTTAGAATTGTATTGAACAAATATTTGATACAATAGTTACTGTTACAAAAAATCCTTCATTACAAGAAGAATTTGCACTTATGATTAAACATCTTTTAACAAATATTGAACCAAAACTTGGTAAATCAAAGAAAATAAAAGAATTCTTTAATTAATCGAAATTCAAATTTTTCTTTTTTTTTTTTTGTTATTTAATAGGTGAATTTAATGAACTTGATGGTCGATTAAAATATGTTGGTATTTGTGCTCTTTTTTGTTTACATTATCAACTTTTTCGAGTTGATGATAAACGACAATTAAAAGCTATTTGGGATGTTCATAAAAAAGTAAAATTAATATTTAAAATTTTGTTTTTTTCTGTTAATATCTATTTTTTTTATAATTTAGGTACCGATTGTTTATCTTTGTGGTAATGTCAGTTGGACAGCTAATAAATTTTTACTTGAAAAATATCCTCAATTTACTCGACTACTTGATAAAAAAGCTGTACAAGCTGTTGAACAACAACGTATAACATATTTACAAAATAAAGAATCTTCATTAACAAAGTAAGTTTACTACAAGTAAACGAAATCTTTCTTTTTTTTAAATTTCAACTGCTCTTTTCTTTTTTTTTTTTAATATTTATGTATTTTTTTCAGTCCTAAGTAAGAGAACTAACAAGCATGTTTTATATTTTGTTGTAACATGGGGCCTTTTTCTTTCTTCTGTTCTTGCATGGTTACTGTTGTTGTTTTTCTTCTTAGTTTTATTTATAAAACAAAAAGAGTAAAACTAACTATGTTTATATAGAGATTTACAAAAAAGTTATCTTGATGTTTTATCATGGCTTGTACGTATGGAATCAACTGTTACTACAGATGATGCCGATCAAAATGCATTGGCTAATGATGTTTTAAAAAAAACTTCATTATTAAATCAAGTACGTCACTCATAGAAAGATGAATAAATTAATATCATCGAGAAATATGACTTTTGCTGTGCTGATTTTCACAGCAGGTTCTCAACAATTACCAAAAGTTGTGTCGGGAACCGAACGTTTGCCCTTAGCAAGCAAATGTTCTTCTGACAACACAACTTTCGATAATTGCTGAAAATGACTTGAAAGCATTAGTATGGCGAAATTCATATTATTTACATTTTCTTCTTTTTTTTTTTTGTTATTAGGGTTTATTTCATGCTTATACATTATCGCATACAGTAAAAACTTTAATTAGTCTTCATTCAACACTTCAATTACCAATAAAACCTGAATGTATGCTTATACTCTATCGTTATACAGAATTATTAAAAGTTATTGAAATAACATATCATCGACATGCTATGGCTATTGCACCATATTTTAATTCAATTATGCAATATCATTCACAACGTTTATTAAAAATAATTGCAATAGCAAAAGTATAAAAATTTTTCTTAGATTTTATTTTCATTTTAATTTCATTGTTTATTTGTTTGTATAGAAACGAATTACATCAGCAACAGATAAAAGATTTACTGATAAACAAGTTGATGTTCTTGCAGCACTTGTTTTAGCTGAATCTTGTCTAAATGGACCTTGTAAATTAGATTTTCTTCGAAAAAAAAAAATTTAATAAATTCAATTTTATATTATTTTTATAGGTACAAAAGAACGTTTATTAATCTTTCGATTAGCATTTTCATTTGGTTCACGATTAGTAAATTTTAATTATTTATTTTTTAATACATAGACTTGTTTTTGTTTCATTTTTTGTTTTAAAGAAAACTTGTCGAGATGAAGAAATGGCTGCAATTGAAGAAGCACTTCGAAAACTTGAAAGTTTAGCTGCATTTTCTGAAAAGTAATTAGAAAACAACGAATACATTAGTTTTTGTTGTGTCTTTTACGATAATTATTTGTTGTTTCTATATAGACTTCATCATGCTTGTGATACAACATTTATCTATTGGGAACAAAATTCATTTCGATTATATTTACAAGATTTATTTTTAACTGTTCGTGATCCACATCGATTACATGTAAAAATTGAATTTATTGATAAATAAACAATAGTTTGATTTGATTTGATTTGATTTTGTTTTTTTAGTATATATTTGCTGCTCTTCGTAATTGTGTGTCAGCATTACGAGCTATTCGTCATGATAAACCAGAAAGATTGATTACAACCTATAAAAATGAAATAATGAAAATGTTTGATCAGGTTTGTAAAATATAAAAAAAAATCTAATTTATACAAACAAAAAAAAAATTTTTTTTTCATAATTTAGTTTTTTCTTCAAGAATTATTTAAAGCAATTGAAGATGATCTTCGATGTTTATGTCATGCACATCTTGAAGTTGGTGATCGTAGTGTATTTAAATCAAATTTTAAAGATGTTACACCATTTCTTGATGTTAAACCAATACGATGTTTTGATGAATTTGTTAGTATTAAAGGTTAGAATCATTTTTATTTTTATTTTTTTATTATTTTTAATGAAATAAATTTTCTAATAGGAGCTGTCGAAAGTTATTTGGATAGAATTTTTTATGATTATACAACAGCGTCGTCAACAGATTGGAATACTTATTCAGAAATGCGTAATTTAGCATCACAAAAATATGGATTAGATTTACATGAACCACATTTACCAAGTAAAACACTCGAACAGGTAATTTAAGAACGTTTCAGAGAAAAACATTAAACAAACTTGTCAACTATGGAATATATAAACTAATGAGGAAATCTCATCAAATGAGTCTTATTTTATTAGATAGAGCCTATAGAAACTAGAAACAGCTTACAAGGCTTCATGTGCATGGATCTTTCTTCTTAAATTATCACTATTGTGTAGTGAGCTTTCCAACAAAATACTATAGTCCTATTGAGATCATTCGTTTGAACATGATCTGAAGAGGAAAAGCCTTCTCATTACCTAATCAGCTTAGTGTGAGTATGCGAGGCTTAGCTGATCATCCATTCACTCCGCGAGAAGTGATTAGAAAATAAGTTTTGGTCGAAAAATGTTGCTGACTTTCATCTGAAATGGAAGAGATTTGAAGCATTTTCTAGGAACGTCTAATGCAAGTTCCATCAGAGATGTTGATCACGGCAGTTTATTTTTGAAGGACATTGAAAAATTGCACGAAATTTCAGTGCCATCGAAAGTAACACTCCAAGACTCGATGTATCTCATGGGTTAGTAGCCATAGTTTTAATCTAATACAGTTATAATAGTGGAATTAAGCTTTTGAATGCCATCACGCCACAAACTTTTGTCTTCTATTGTTGCGACTTGGCAGCAGAAGTTTTTTTAGTCGCGATGATCATCTCTGAGTTACATTAGTGATTTCAAGCTTTTAAGCTCATATTTTGTTCATACATAGAGAATCACTAGACTAATACAATCCTCAAAGGACTATTCTTTTTATTTAAATTTGATCTTGATATGAATAATTGTATGTGAGAAAAAATATTTTATAAATACTTTCGACTAATACCAACGACCACAATATTTAGAAAATTATCATGCTTAGATATGGATGTGTAGTCGTCTATCAGTAAATTGCCTCTAGTTCCTTTAAAATCTTATGAAAATAGGATTTACTATATATGATTCGACACGGCTCAAAAAGCTCTACAACATGGTATATTTGGTTTTTCATTTCTCAATAGATTCCCTTATTCGAAAAGATCTTTTAAACGTCGTGGCCAGAATTTTGGTATGCCCGAAGTACTATGTTTTGAAACATTCATATCTCGGCTAAGTCAATAAAAAGAAGAACTAGTTTAGATGCCTTCTGCCTATGGGCTAAATATGAATTTAAAAGCCTTGATAGGGCTTTCATCAAACGTTCCTAGATAATTCTCTAATTCCCCACTATTTCAGGCAAAGCTGGTTTTTTGACAACTTCGTATCTGATTAGCACGACTAAAGCCAATAAAAAAATGATTATTTCAACTCCCGTTGAAAGCTAAGGTGGAGACTCTTGTATTTTTTCGAGTGAGTGCGAGTATGAGAAATAAGAATATCAATACCCATACTCCACAACGCGCTTATTTGACTTTATAATGATGTTGTTCGTTTGTTTTTTGGCTTCGATGCACCAGAAGACTATTGAAGTGTAATATTCTGTATAGATTTTTCTTCTTTATGCATAAAATCGATCACACATCTATTTAATTTCTATTTAGGGTTGTGATGTTCTTGATATTCTTCGTAATTTAAATGCATTTGTTTCTCAACATTATTATAATATCAATACACAAATGTTTATTGAACGATCAAGTAATAATAAATTTTTACGTACAACAAATATTCGACATGTTGCGAATTCAATTCGTACACATGGTATTGGTATAATGAATACAGCAGTAAGATAGAATTTCTTTTTTTTTTTTTGCTTACATTATTTTGCTTTTTTTATTGAAAGGTTAATTTTACATATCAATATCTTCGACAAAAATTTTATATGTTTTCACAATTTTTATTTGATGAACATATAAAAAGTCGTTTAATGAAAGATATTAAATATTTTAAAGAAAATAAAGATCGACTTAATCAACGAGTAAATTCGAATCATTTTTTGTTTAAATCTAATTTCGATCATTTTGTTTTTTTTTTTTAGTATCCATTCGAGCGAGCAAAAAAATTTTTTATTAGTATTCGAAAATTAGGCGTTACACCTGATACAAATGAGACTTACCTTGATCAATTTCGACAATTAATTGGTCAAATTGGTAAGAATGAAAAACAAGAAAAATACATATGAAAATTATTTTGTTTTTCACTTTTTCTTTTTACATCAAAGGCAATGCAATGGGTTATGTTCGAATGATTCGTTCAGGTGGTCTTAATACATGTTCGAGTTCTATAAGATTTGTACCTGATTTTGAAAATATAATTTCATTTGAAGAACATACACGAAAAGCTAATTTACCTACTGAAACAATAAGTGCTTCAAAGTAAATTATTGTTTTTTTTCTTTTTTAAACGAATAATAATATTAATAATTTTATTTAGACATTTAGATGATGTTATATCAAATTTAGTAAAAAATTTTACTGAAGGTACTGAATATTTTAAAATTTTAGTTGATGTTTTTTCAAATGAATTTCGTGGAAAGAAAAATTTACATTTAAAATATTTTTATGTTATTGTACCACCATTGGTATGTCAAATGAAATTTTCTTTTAAAATTGAGAATTATATTTATATATATATGTTCAATTATTTATAGACTTTAAGTTTTGTTGAACATATTAAAGTATTAAAAGATAATTTAACAAAAAAATCCAAAGTTAATGCATCATTTACTGATGATGGATTTGTAATGGGTAAGTAATATGTGTTGTTTTTTTGTATAAAAGTTATTAACGCATTCCTTAGAGGATTAAAATATGAAATTATGATGTAGCTGCTGTTGCTAATCACGAGGAGACTTTTTAACTATATCTATTTTGGTGCATATCATCGTTTTACTTAAGAGTATTCTCCGTCTTTTTTAAAACTGAAGATGGTACAGGCGAGCAAACTGAGGAACCCTAGTTTTTCATAGGATCGAATTCTAAAGCTTACGGCTTCCATCAAAATTTATCCGTTGGATTGAAAATCTTGTTGGAAATGGCTAAGACGATATCTCAGAGATAATTTTAAGTTCTTTCAAAAATCTCACTTCGTTATTTTATTATGAGAGAAATACGCAAAGATTCGAAGTCAACACCAAAGTCTTATCTTTCAAGATCCCATAAATCTGGATAGGAAAGTTCCAAAAACCAAAACGCTTGATTTTACCTCTGAAGAATATTTCTGAGTATCAGCCCAACTGAGCAAAGTTAAATGGGGCTTGCCGTGTACCAGAATGCAGTCTTATATAAAACTAGAGTTTTTCAGCAAAAATTCACTTCAAAATATTAAGACGAGACGTTATTGATACAAAGTCTTTGCTTGTATATCAACAACGTCTGTGAGATAAGGAGCTGCGGGTCCACGTTTTTGTGGACTCGGATCCGAACAAAGTTTTAAATTTGGACCCAGATCCGACCGAGTTCAAATCCGAGGTTTTTTCCATCAAAACCTGGCACCCTTCATGTACATAAACAAGTATAGGATCAAGATTTCAGTTATTTATCCGTTACTCTCAGAAAAAAATTCAATGTGCAGTTATATCTTGTTGCTGTGGGAAGCAGCAGGTCCACAAAAGCGTGAAACCGGACCCAACAAAAAATAAAAGGTTGGATCCAGTCGAGTCCGGCTCTGGAACGATCCGCAGCTTTCCCTACCTTGAAGGAGTCGAAATTTTTCATTCCTCCGTTTGGATCATGTTTCATACAAGATTTATTTAGGTGTTGCTTATATATTAAAATTACTTGATCAATATCGTGATTTTGATTCTTTACATTGGTTTGATGCTGTTAGAGAATCATTTAATACAGAAAAAGTAAGAAGATACGGTTTCTTTTTATGAAAAAATTTTTTTTTTATTGAATTTTATTTTTTAAGACTGATGTGATTAATAAATCAAGAAATAGTAGTGAAGAAAATGTTAAAAAAGCTTTAAATGCTTCAATGAAACGAATTGAAAATGATCAATTGGTTAGTAGAAATTAGAAGGAGAAGAAAAAAAAACAACCAAGTTTTCGTATTTGAATTTTTTTTAGGAATTTGATTTACTTAATTATAGTTTACGTTCAGCTAGAATATTTTTTCGTGCTGATAAAACAGCTGAAGAAGATAAACGTATGTTATTAATACAAAAGCAATAGCTATCCTTTTGTTGCTCATGCTATTTGTTGCTATCCATAATCTCTTATTTCTGTTTACTTTTTATGTAAAATTAGGTAAGAAATAATTTGAAAAGAATTTTTTTTTCGTTTTTTTTTGTTTTTGATTGTTTAAAATTAATCTTTATATTTTATTTTAGAATCATCGATAGTTGAAACTGAAACACGAACACAAACAGAAACAGTACCAACTACAATTGATGTACCTTCAATTACCGGAAATGCACCACCACCACCGCCACCACCTCCACCACCACCAATGTCTGATGGCGTTCCTCCACCACCACCGCCGCCACCTCCTCCATTTTTTGCTACTAATTGAAAATTCTTTATTTAGAACAAAAACACTCTTTTTTTCTTTCCTTTTGATAAAACATAATTAACCGGTGATTGGCTCACGAAACTTATGCCTATTGATGATTCATTTCTATGTAATTCTTATTGTAAAATTTATTCCATACGTCTGTTTTTTAATTTATATGATCATTTTTTTTTCCAATATACTGAAATTGATTCTTTTATTTCTAGAAGAATCTCATTTGTTATACAAATATGAAACTTTTTATCAATATCATTACTATAGTGAGTTTTTTTCTTTAATTTGATTTTTGCATTGATTAATTTAATTTTTTTTTTTAGATTAGTCTATTTGTTGAACCAATTATAAGTATAGATGTTTGTACTAATGTACAATGTAAATGCAACCATCATTTCACCAATGTATATTGTGATTCAAAAGGTTGGACAAGTTTAAATACTATAGAATTTCCTTCACGTGTTCGTACTTTAACACTAATTAATAATAAATTGAAATTCGATACAAGTAAAATTTTAAATAATAATTTATTTATTTTTTTTAATTAGAAAATTTTTTATTTCGAATTATAGCTGATGATCGTTCAAAGATCGAAAATTTAACAAGTCTACTAGATTTAAGTCTTAATCAAAATCCAATTGAAATAATTCCACCATTTAATAATTCAAAAATTCGTTCAATTTCATTACAAGATACATCAATAACATCAGTTAAATTTCCTTCAACTTATTTGAATTTATTTTTAGAAACTATATCACTTAGTAATAATAAAATTCATACAATTGATGAAAATGATTTTATTGCTTTGAAAAATTCTAAAGTTAAACGATTACATATAGATAGTGCAAGTCTTTCAACAATTCATCAAAATGCATTTATCCCATTAATACAACTTCAATCATTATCATTAAAAAATAATCAATTAAAATCATGTGAATTTTTATCAACATTTCGTTTATTATCATCTATTAAACTTGATGGAAATCGATTTACTTCACTTCCACAAGAATTATTATTAAAAAGAAATATTAATTACTTTTTTAGACAAAATTTAATATCAATTATTGATGAATCATCACCATTATATACATGGCTTAAAAACAATTATACAAATAATAAAATTTATTTAGCTAATAATTCATTTGATTGCTGTCGATCATTATGGTTTATTCGTTTTTTAAATACATCTTCACATTTTGTTGGTGATGCTTCATCATTAACATGTGCAACACCATCAAATTATGCAGGAAAAAAATTAATTGAACTTAATCCTGATGAAATGAATTGTAGTGGAGTTTTACCAAATGGAACATGGTGGACCACTGGTCGAATTATTGCTGTGGTCATTGGAGGTTCAGCTTTTATTTTAACTTCGATTGTTATTATAGTTATCATGACTCGTCGTCAACGAGTACGTTCAGGTTATACAGAAATCGGTGGAATAGACGATCCATCACCGAATACTGCATTATTATCATCATCTAATGAACCTCCATTTCCACCATATGGTGAAGATAATGATGCTGTTTCAACATATTCTACTGCTCCTTCAAGAAATACAGTTGGATCACATATAACATCAGTTAGCACTGCTGGTGGAATTCCAGCAAATGATGATAATCAAATTTGAAAATTTTTCTGCAAATTCTCGTTTTTGATCTGATTGGACCGGTGTTTTTTTTCCTTTCTTTATAAATTTCTTGCTATTTAATCTCGATAAAAATTTTTATTTTCTTTGTGATATATTTAATATTGCCCTAGGTTGTTATAAACAAGCTATTTGTAATTAGTTTCTCAGTCATAATAAAATTAAACGTACAAAAAATAAAAAAATAAAAAGATTTTTATTATTCTAATAAGTTTAATTTAATCGAAGGCATAAGAGTGAAAGTGAAGATAAAACTTACCAGCTAACGAAGGAAGTCCCATCATTGATTACTCTTGTGTAGGAACTATGTACATCATGTAGACCATAATTAGCAATGAATATTCAGAAAAGAGCTCGAGTATTTAATTTATTGCTGGGAAGATGAAGTTATAAGGGATATCAGTACTAATAACATTAGCATTGGATTTTTTTTCGAAAAAAAAATATCGATACTTTATTTTAGTACAATTAAAAGGTATGAGTACAGGTTTCGGCTTCATCGTTATACCCACATCTTCTCAGAAAGGTGAAGATAAAATTTTACATGTCAAAAAAGTTAATTCCATTAATTTTGTCTTTTTCTGGTCAATTAATATTTTCTGTTTTTTTTTGGATGCTATTAGCATTAAATTTCTTCATCTTCCTGAAGAGATATTGCATTTTTATGGTATTTTTTAATTCAATGTCCTGATCGCTTTCACGAACATCAGGAAAATTGGTTTTTGAGTTTTGACTTGAAACTTTACGTAGACACAGATATAAGTCAGAATATTTTATTATGAAAGTTTCAAATCTCTTCGTTGTGCTTATCCTAAGATATGGCTATGATAAAAATTTGTCTTTTTCATTGTTTCAAATTGTTATTTGAAAATCAATTTTTTCTGACTTACTGAGGAGTATCGCGGTATTTAGTTGAAAAGTGCTGTAATAAGTCAAGGACCTAAATCTTTTCTGAATATTCATAACTCATTAGAGTCTTCATAATGCACATAGTGTCGACTTAAAAGCGATTAATCAGTCGGAAGACATCCTTTGTGTAAGAATGAAGTCTGATTCATCGCGCCTTTTATAAATTCCGATAGTTCTTATTTTTTTTTTTATATAACAAAAATCAATAATTCTTAAATATAAAAGAAAGAAAAAAAAATATGATTGTATTAGTCATTCGTATTTATTTATATTTAATAGATTGAAAAAAAACCAAAGAACATTTTGTGTGATTAACTTTAAAGTAAATATAAAGATATTATTAAACAAGATGTAGGACATCGTCTTCCGGTGGAATAATAGTGATTTCAGGTAGTTGATTTGGTTTCTGTTTTCGTAGTTCTGAATTACGTTCTTCTTCTTCTTCTTCTTCTTCACTATTTTCTGTATCACTTGTTAAAACTGGATTTTCTGATATAAGTCCATCAGAATATGCTGAAAAACTTGGTGGAATATTATTAGTTTTTGGTAGAAATAAAACATTTGAATTTTTATTTGTATATAATTTTGATTGATTTATATCAAATGTATCATTTCGAGAAGCCGTTTGATGAATATTTCCTTCACTAATTGAACGTCGGCGTAATTCTATAGATTGATTAGAATTCTGAAGTGATAATAATTTTTTTTCTAATTGTTTTTGTTCATATGTTAATAATTGAAGATTACTAGTTGATTTTTGTCTTTCAACATTAAGAATTCGTTGTTCAGCTATAATAAGACGATCTTGAGCAATTATACGTTTAGTACGACTATCCAAAAGACCATTATTAGTAACAACAGGACGTTGTGTCGGACGAAAAAACTGTCATTAATTGAAAATAATGAAAGTTATATCTTATGATTAACCCTACCTTAATTGTAAAATTGTAGTTTGAATTTGACATTTAAATGCTTATCTCAAGGTTCCTCAATCGATAAATATTAATCGTTCGTATGTAAAAAAAAAAATGTATATAATAATTTCTTTCTTCTTCACCGTCGTCGTTTATCGCTAGAGAAAAAAAATTAATAATTTCCATTTCCAAAATCGAGCGGTGTGTGTGTGTAACACAGTGCATATATTTTTTTTTTCTCTTAATATTGAACTAAAAAGCTTTTTAATCATACTCTATTTGACAATTACATTTGAAATAAATTGAAATTTTATGTAGTAAATGTTTAGTTTATATGCATTTTGAACTGAAAGATCGATACTCATTGAGTATTTTTTATGAATTTATAAAAAAAAAAAGAACTAATAATTGACAATAATTTTGATTTCTTAATGAAAGTATAGTTTGAATGAGATTTGCAAATCGAAATTCTTTAAACATAACAAGAAAAAACAAATGTGTCATTGTTTATGTATCTGTTCTTCATCTTGATCTATTACTTGCGTCAATCAACTCGGTAATTTTTCTGTCATTTACTGCGGTAAATATTTTCCATTCTTGTACTACTGAATTTTTCAATTTTCAAATCTTTGCCTTCTTAATTGTACCTCATATTATATATCAGCGAATTTTATACGATCAATTTCAAGATCAATACATTCATTAAATAAAGATTTAATAATATTCATCATAACTCTTATTCGATGTTTGCTATTATGAGTATCTTGAAAAATCGTTACAAAGTCAGTATTTTTTTTTTAAATAAATGACATATAATAGAACGCAGAAAACTAAAAGGTACTCGTCATAAGAGATTGCTTGAGTAATTAGAATTTTTTCACGCATGCTATTTGTAAAAAACATTCAAAAAGTTCATATGAATTTTATATGATTTGTATCTCTGTAAATATCAGAAGTAGAAAACATAGAGTAGTTCTAGATATCTAGTATATACATTGTATATTATCAGCCTATTCTATTGAAAAGAATATTACTTGAAGAAGATCAATACTTATTAGACAGCCTTTATATCCAATATCTTTTGATACCAATGATCATTCATGCGTAGTATTTATTATCTCGGTTCAATATATAACATTTGCTTCTCATTGTGTTTTGTATCTACGTGTATGATAAGTGGGAAGTGAACGGTGATGAGAAGATAATGTATGTGTGGATGTTCAACTAGCGAAAAGTAGAACATCATTTTTATTTTAAGTATTTTGTTTGACAACCATTATTTATTGTTCAAAATATAAAGAAAAAAAGGTATAAAGTACTAATTCTTTGTTTTTTTTTTCTTCATTCAAATTGATTAGACTTTCGAATCTATTATTATTTCACAATTAACTCATTGACGACTGACTTATTTTTATAAAAGAAAAAAAAAAGTAATATTTTATTGTTAGCAAGATATTTTTTTTAAAATTATTGAAGATTATAATTCTTACACGTAGACTTGATGTAAAGATGCAAGATTATTATTAGTGACATCTATGTCAGATCACCATGCAATATTGAAAAAGACCTGTTGTACTATTTTTCGGTTTCACCGTCAAACGATTAATAATATTGAATAAGTCATTTTGATTTATTCAATAAGAATTATCAGATCAGTTTTTTTTCGAATACCATTATAGGTTTTCTTTTCTTTGTAATTATAAATCATTTAAGTTGTTATTCTTGAATTTATAATGAAGCATAATTAGTATAAATATTTCTACATATTGAAATCTATGAATGTAATGAATAGAAAGATAAAATGAAAGATTATAAAAAAGAAATGATAATCGTGTGATGTGTAATAAATAGAGAAAATAAAATATCATGCAATATGTGAATGCTTAATAACTTAATAAATACAATCGAACATCAAATATTAAATGATGGTTCCACTATTTGACCTCTTTTCTTTGCAATGATAACATATATATGAGAGAGGACTATTATAAACTTAATAGTCACAGATCATTATAAGTAAACACTTATTTAAAGAAACAGATTGTGTTTGAATTAAAAAGAAAAAGAATGGTCTAGCATACAAATTTGTGTTGCTCAGAAAATTTTCAATGCCAATCGTTGTTTTTCGACCGCATATTTGTCTTAGACTCCATGATGCATTCTCTTTTATCTAATCCAAATGAAGTGATTCATTAATCATCAAGGTGTTATGTGTTATGATTTAGTTATCTAATACTCGAATGAGGAAAAAAAATATGTGTACTCATCGAATTACGAATATACAAGTAATATTTCAGCTATGTATTTCATCTTGTTATTGAATTTTAAGAGATGAATAATAAAAAAAAAAATTTTCACTTTATAATAAAAATCAAAACAATAAAATACGAATAGTTCAGTTTATAGAAAGTTTGACACTCTATCAAGATGTATGATTGATTTAGATTTCATTCTTTCGTTTGTTTTTTTGTATTTCGATTTTGAACTCTTCTTGCGGTAAAACTAACAGCATACAAACTACACAAAAAGACCTTTTTTTTTTTTTACTAACAAATGGATGAGAGAAATTTGTCTCTGTGATACTCATATTAGATTAGGGATGCGCTTTTAATCATTAATATTAAGATCAAAGACACATAAGAAAACGACGACGAAACCGGCTTCTTTGTATTAATCAAATAGATTTATGCTTAGCGAGTTGAATAGTTCCAAAAATATGATCATCACCATTAGCCTACCGTTAAATTTCTCGATTGGATGTACAGTCCATTGATCTCTCACCATTATCATTGCATTCTTACCTAATAGAAATTTAATTCAGCAAGTAGATTTATTCCCTGTCTAATTGTTTTTCTTATAATATTGGCTAGAGTCACTTGAATTTGTCAATAAATAAAAAAAAAAAGATATGCAAAGTAATCTTTTTTTTCATACCCTCACTGAGCAAAGGTTTTTTTAACCTTATCTTGAAAAGTAGGGTGACCTTACACATTTCTAAAGTACAATGAATTTTATTATTGAATTTAGCAGAAATTGAACTGTACAACATGTATTTTATTTAATATTTAATAAATCATTGAGAAACTTTAGTTGTGTAACATAAAAGTCAATTTTCCGTTTTTTTTTCGTGATTATTGTATCGAAAAGTTGCTATTCATTCATAAGTTCTTTTTTCGTGTAGAATTCTTTGAGAAATTAACATGATTTTCTTATGTCATTTTGTAATTTCTTTCGAATATAAACATATGAAAAACTTTTTGTTGGTAATTGAAAAATTTACTTTTTATTATAAAAATAATTTTTATTACTAATCTTTGATTACAATCATATCTCTTGCATCATCATCATCATCATCATCACATGTTTGGATATTCATAATACAATTTTTATGCTTATAAAAAAAAAGGATATTCGTTATCTTGCGCCCTTATGTCATAAAAATCGAAAAAGGTTATCTATTACCCACGCCCATATGTACTTAAATAAATAAAATTCGATCAATTGCGAAACCTTCTCATTGAAAAAAAAGGTGCCGATACTGTAATTTTTTTTTTTGCGTATGTCAATTTTGTTATTCTGCTTCTTTCGGTAGAGTCTAAAGAGCAACCAACTAACAAGGACAATCGATTAAATAGAATGCATTGCATTACGAAAAGAAAAAAAAGAAAGGAAAAATATCTAGCAATAATAAACCACTTTTATATTCTTTGTATTATATCGTTGGCACATGGAAAGAAGGAAAATAAAAAACCGAACGCAAATACCTCTATATATATCCTCACACTTGAATTGCATCATATCAATTTATTGAGTAAAAAAGTATTGGTTGATTTTTGTTTTGACATTGCATCAGGTCAATTTTATACTATACAAAAGTATTAATTGTTGTGTGCGGTTTTTCTTTTCTTTTTCATTTCAGTATCATACTAATCAATGGCGTTAGATTTTGGTTTTGGTTTTATAGCTGGAGTAACTGGTACAATAGCTGGTTATCCATTTGATACAGTTAAAGTTCGTCTTCAAACACAAACATTACATCATCGACTATATTCGGGTTCATTAGATTGTTTTATTAAAATAGCAAAACAAGAATCAATATTAGGTTTTTATAAAGGCATGTCATCACCAATGTTTGGTGTTGCGGTTATAAATGGAATTGTTTTTTCTATACAAAATCTTTCAAAAGGTTTATTTGATAATCCTGATACATATTTAGCATTAGTAATAACAGGTGGTATTGCCGGTGGTGTACAAGCATTTATTTGTTCACCTATTGAACTTGTTAAAACACGTTTACAAATGCAAGGTATTGGACAACAACGAAAATTATTTACATTATCAACACATTTATATAAAGGTCCTATTGATTGTTTAAAAAAATCTTATACAAGACAAGGTTTTCGATATGGTATTATGCGTGGTTTGTCAGTGACACTTGCACGTGATTTACCATCATTTGCTGCTTATTTTCCAGCATGGCAATTTTTTGTTTCACATTTTTCACCAACTGGTAAAGAAGGTGATATGTCTATGCATATGAGTTTAATCGGAGGTGCTTTTACTGGTATGGCTGCTTGGACTGTATCTTATCCATTTGATGTTGTTAAAAGTCGATATCAAGCAGCAAGAGATCATGTTTATAAAAATGTATGGGATTGTATAATTCAATCATATCGTAATGAAGGATGGCAAGTTTTTACTCGAGGATTTTTACCATGTACACTTCGTGCTATTCCAACAAATGCATTTACTTATCCTGTTTATGCTTTTTTAAAACGAAAATTTGATACACCATTTGATGATGATAATATATCTATACCAACAACAGTTGTTACTAAATCAAAATCAATATCTACAAATGGAAATTCATCTTCATCAATTGCTTCAATTCAATCAATTTAATTCGTATTCTTTTTATTGATCTAAAGTTTAAAAAAAAAGAAAAACATCGATGCAAGTCAGATGGAGATTTACTTCTTTTTAATTATTATTTTGTGTATTATATGTATATTTATATATATATATGACAAACATAGTTGGGATTCTTGTTT